CGGCGGCGCCCGCGCCGCCCCGCCCCCGCCTGCCACTGCCTGTTTCCCTCAGGGAGCTGGCCACATGGTGCCCATGGACCGGCCACTTGCTGCCTTCACCATGTTCAGCCGCTTCATTAAGAATGAGCCTTACTAGGAGCTGTGGAGGCAGTGTGTGATGCCCGGCTGCCCTCGCCACCCAGCACCTCCCACACAGCCCGTCCTCATTGCCGCTCAGCTGTGCCTGGGCATCCTGCGCCACGGAACAAGTCACTCCTTGCAGCTGGCGGGGCTCCCGGCTGCAGCCCAGGGGCTCTGCCCAGCCCTGCAGGACAGCACCCGGCTCGACAGGGTGGGGGATGTGGCTGCCTGTGGTGGGAGGGGGGCATAGGCTGGGAGGCAAGAAGTCCCAGGGGCTCTGTCTTTGCTGGGTGAGGAGTCGTGCCCCTGCTGCAGCTGCCTCCTCGCTTGTGGCTTCCTGTCTCGCCTCCTCCCTGTCTGGGGAGGCAGCTGCTTCCCTCCTGGGAAGGGAGCAGTCCCCACCACTTCCCCTCTGCCCCGCAGCCCCTGCACGCACGCAGCCCTGGGCAGGCTCTGAGGCAGCTGCCCCCTGCTAGGAAAGCACAGTTCACATGGTGGCTGCAGGCAGCTGGGCGCTGCTCCTGTGGGGACTTTCTGCTCCCCTCCAAACCACTCCCACATCTGATCCCGGTGAAGGAGGCTTACCATGAAGACAATCCCACCACCCGCTCACTGCCTGGGGCACGCAGTACTTCTAGGAACTCTCAATAAACTGTCTGAACAAGGTGGTTCTGCTCCTCACTGCCCTGCTCCTTGAACGGCTCTGCTACCCCCTGCTTTGCTTTCCTTAGCTCTCTGAGGAGTACCACTACGCACCGAGGATCCAGCAGAGGTGAGTGCTGACATGCCATGCTGGGAGCCAGGGCCTGTGCCCTCCTCTGCAGGGGGTCGCTGAGGCATGGAAACAAGCCACCCACAAGAGCAGGGGAAGTGCAGTTGTTCTGAGCTCTTCTGCCACTGTTCTGAGCTGTGTCTGCCTCCCAAGTACCTGAGCCGGGGGAGCAGCGCTGTCTGCCCCCTTCCCCATCTCTCCCCACGTGCTGGCAGCTGTGCAGTCTGGCATAGGCACGTCCTCTGAGCAATGAGGCCGCACAGGTTAGAGTCAAGTTGTTTATTAGTGTAATGAGAAGGGGTGCAGCAGGGGTTCCCAGAGCAGCCGTCTCCACCTTGCTGCTACCCACCAGGGCACAGGCACCCTGCAGGACACACCAGTGGTACCAGGAAAGCTGCTTTCTACCTACAGTCTACGGGTCCAGCCCGGGATCTGCCCTTGGTCCGGGGTGAAGGAGCGAGTGGGGAGAAGAGCTAGAGCTGGCGGGTGTCCATGCTGGGCTCCGCAAGCCTTGAGCTGGAGTAGGCGGGGGTGGTAGGGACTGGGCGGTATTTCTCAATCACCTCCCGCAGCCCCTTGGAGAAGTGGAGATCAGCTCCCACTGTGAGGAATCCCTGCAGAGGGGAAGAGGATTAGCACAAGGCTGAGTGTGGCTGCACCCTGCCCCAGCAGGACATGGGTCC